TTTATTCTTTGTTTCTGCTTTTTGAAAGGTCACAGTCGCGTTTCGGGAAGATCTCCCCCTTCCCGGCCATCAGGGGCACGGGTGCATCGGTCTGAAGGGGAAGCTCTGGGTAGAGCCTGCCCGAGAGCTGGCACTCCAATCCACCGTGCCTTCCTACCGCCCTGTCTGAGCCGCCGTGGCCAGCCGGGTCTTTAAATCAGTCCTGTACTACCTCCAATTGCTCTCTAACGAGATATTTCCTTACAAAGACTAATTGCGGCGGGACAGGACAGTGTGGTGGCTACAGTGATGCAACACTTTCCCCATGTTTTTTCCTCCTCTCAAATTAAACCCCGTTGCCTCGGGGAACCCTCGGGCTCTTCAGAAAGCGGCGCGTCGGGGAGCGAGGGGCCCTGCGTGCCACCTCAGCGACCTGGCACGGGAGAGGATAGCTGCAGCTCGCTTCTGTGGCGAAGGCGCTTGCCCAGTGAGAGAGTATTTCAGATCGGGCTAGCATCTCGTCGACTGTCTTTCTAATTTGTTTCAACCCGACTCCCGCCGAGTCCGCGGGAAGGGCTACACACGGTTCACACGGCGATCCGAGCTCCGCGGGACCCGCTGCCCGCATCAGGGCAGGAGCCGTGCTGAGCCAGCCCTCAAGGCACAGACACCCCGGGGCACCGACTGCCAGCTTCACCCGCAGCCGGGCAATCACCCCAACAAGCCTCCCGTCCGTCCGGCAGGACCCCCGCGGCAGCGGCTCCCCCAGCAGCAGGGTAACTTGAGCGATTGTTTGGAGTAAGTTTGCCTAAAGGAGAGTTTTTTCATTAAATAAAGAAAATACCTCCCGAAGAGACTCTCCGTGACCCCCGCGGCTGCAGCTGACATGCCGGGCTTCCCAGTGAAGGTCGTCAGTGTGTTTGCAATTAAAATGTTTGTGTTAGATATTAATAACGATAATCTTTACTTAAGTCCCCAGCCAAAGCAAACAGGGCCCTGGAATCACAAAATCAAAGGGCAATAACTGGGTAAAGACAAGAGGTTTGTGATTTAATGAAGTCTTTTTCCGGAGGGACCACGCACAAATTCATCGCAGTTTTTGCGCAAATGCAAGTGCCCCTGCCGCTCCCTCCTCCCCTCTGCGGGCTGGAAATCCAATGTTCAACACAGCCTCCCTCGCCTGTACCTGCTCCGCTCCCTGGGAAGCAAACACCTGCTCGCTCCCTCAGCAGCGGCGGGATGCGGGGCTCCGCCGGCCCGCGGTGCGCAGTGCCCGGCCCGAGGTGCCTGCGGGGCCGGGAGCGATGGGAGGAAGGCGGGGGAAGGGGGAATGGGGTGCCTGTCTGCAGGGCTGCCCTGTTGACACCCGCTTTCCTCTGAAGTGACGCGACCCAGGGTTTAAAGCCTTGTTTTGAGGTTTTTGGTTTAGTATTTTAGGTGGGTTTTTTTTGTTGTTGTTGTTTCGTTGGAGTTTTTAGGTTGGTTAGTTTTGGCTTTCACATTGTGTATCTTTATTTTCCTCGGTGAAACCGCCCGCAATCCAGGGAGGGAAGCGGACAGCCAGCAGCAGGCTTAACTCATTCTCTGAACTCAGAGTCAAGGCGGTCAAGAGGCGACACTGCAACTATTTCCACGGGAAAATTCCTGCGTGGACCACTGCTGCTTTGTGGACCCCGCACGACTTTTCCGCAGTTTCCGTCTTTCTGTGGAGAATGAGCTGGGGGTGGGCGTAGGGGGCAGGGAGGGAGGAGGCTGAATAATTGAACCATGTGCTCGCTGGGACGCCCCTCCGATAGCAGGAACTAGCAACTTTTCCCAGTCTCAAGGCTGCTAAAACCCCCTCGTGTCCCTTTGATCTCTCCTGGGAGTCCCGGGGAGCCATCAGAGGCCAATGCCTTCTTCAGCTGTCCTCTATACAACTCCCTCTGGCAGGTACTAATGTGTTTACTTAGGTGCGCACGGTTCCCAGCGCTGGGGGGAACCAAACGTTTCTCACACGGCTGGAAGCGCCCGGCCCAGCCAGCCCGACTGGGAAATGATTTTATGGTGGGGGCATGGCAGAGGAGATGCCGTGCCCACTCGGTGCCGCTGCCGGCGGGAGCCGGGCGGAGCTGCTCGGCACCGTGAGGTTACGCGCTCTCCTCGCCCCGCACGGGCCCGCGGGTGCGCTCCGCGGAGCCGGCCGGGCACCGCGCAAAGGCGCTCCCAATGCCGGGGCTGGGATGCGCTAGGGGAGACCGCAAACACCTCTCACCCCCTCAGTCAGTGACTTATGGTTTCGGTAGGATTTTCTGCTCTTAAATAGAAAGGTGTGGGACTTGGGAAAAGATGGCACGCTCTGCAGAAGGTGCCCACATTGGATGGAATCCCTCCAGGAATAGGTGCGGCACGGCGATTCCTGAGGAGTGAGGACGGCTGGGGTGAGGAACACCATTTAAAGGGATCCTGACACGTTCACCACTTTCTCTCTACCAGCCCATAGGAGCAGACAGTGTCTGATGCTAAGGCTGCTCCTGCTTTCCAGACTTGAGCCTCCTGAAATGCAGCACCATCCTCCCCCTTCCCCCACCCCGCCCTTCGCCAGCAGCCTCATTAGCCGGCCTTGCAGTGCGTGTTTTCTTCCCCCTTTCTTTAGTTCCACTCGCCTACTGCATTTTTGCAAATTTGTTTTGAGATCACTTTACCAGAGGAGCCGGGGGCTCCTTAAGGGATACTAATTACTGATTTTTTTTTCTTCCTGAGTGACAGGCCCTTCCATGGTTTCTTCTATTTCCCAAAAAATATTCAAGGAAAAGGGAATGATATTTTTTTCCTATCTCTTCAAATACCTTTGGGGAAAAGCACGTTTCTTAACAGCCCCAGCTCCTCTGAGTTAAGAGTCAAATCTGCGAGCTAAAGCTGTGCATGCCAGGAGAGCGGGATTGAGGGGCCTGGCGTTGTGCACCGAGAGATCTACAGTGCATGCTTGGAGAGAACCCAAGCATGCACCAACCCAGAAAGGTGATCGGAACTGCAACCGGCACTTTAAAGATCAAGTTTATTTGTGCACGAAGCATAAATATGTAAACAGGTCTATTTTAGCCAGCGCGAACGCGGTAAATGAAATTGTGTGTGTGTTTGTCTATGTCTGTGTGTGTGCACGCCATAGCCCAGTGAAGAGTTCAAGTTACTGCTGAGCAGAACTCCTGACTGGTGCTGTCTTAGGAAAACAGTAGAGAACTGTCCTGTTTCAGATGTGGGCCAACAAAACAGCAACCTGCACCTCAGAGTGGCAGAAGCCTGGAATTCTGAGATTTCCCATTCTGTAACTTTACTCCTTTATCAACTCCCTGCTTTTCATACAGTATTCATTTCAAAGGGGCTCCCCGTGTTTATGGCCCCAAGTAAACCAAAGCAGTGCAGATGTAGCCTTTCCCAGCTTTTAGATAATTTTGCAGCCTTTCATAGGAAGAAGGGTGTGTGCATGATTGCTTTTTAGGAAAAAAAAAATTAGCCTAAGAATGGCAGTCTTTGGGGGTTCGGGGATGGTGGTAGCGGGGAAACAAGGATGGGTTCCCTCCAGCCCCAGCACAGGCCGAGCTGCTTGCCTTTCCCCGCCTTGCCCGTGCGGACCGGACAGCTTCCCGGCGGTGTGCGCTGCCACAGGGCATCTCTCTCAGGAGATGCTTCCCTACCGGCTTTGCTCACTTGATCAGCATTTCCCGGAGACAGGCGGCTCGCCGTGCCACCGCATCACCCCTTCCTGAAGAGAGGCTAACTGAAGGCGCCTTTTTCCTGGGCACAAAAGCCACCTCCATAGCGTTTGAACCGCTGCTGGGTCATTTGCTCTCCGTCTGACTTAGCCTAGGTCACATAATTTTATTCCCAGGTACGGAAGGTTTCCTTTGCCTTCTCATAATATTTTCCTCAGCTACAAAAGCCACCTGGACGAAACCAAAGGATTCCTGCGCGTTAGCAAATGCCTGTTAAATGGCTTCATTACCACTCTAATGACCCTTGCACCGCTCCGCTCGGCTACTGCTGCGGCTGGGGCTCCGCAAGGCTTTTGTCCCCTTGTGTAAAGTTACTTAGGGATTGCGGGGTTAGAAATTTTACACTTCCAGGAGGGGTTTGTTGCACTGGCAGCTGGGACGCATCTGTAACGGTACAAGTTTGCCTGAAAGCAGAAAATTAGCAAGCCCAAGGCACTGCTTGACTGTTGTGTCCCTAGCAGCTCCAGGTCACAAGAGAAGGAGAAAGAAGGGGATTTGTCTCGGAGCAAACACATACACTTTTCTTTTGTGAGTACCTTCCCTTGTGATCCGATCCGGCAGCACTAAAATCTGGTTTCCCTTCTCTTCGTCTCTCCTGGCCACAAGTGGCTGTGCATTGCTGTCCCCCAACCTGCAGATGTGAGCGGTTGGTGGCACAACTTTAATTACTGGACAAAGAGCTCCTCGAGATAAATAAACACAGTCTAAGAAAAAGGTTATAATTTATCAGGTTAGACCTGGATCACGGGATGTGGGAAATAAAGATGTGCAAGTAGACAGTATAGGTGTCCCTCCCGAGGAAACGTGTGATGGGAAACGGGAGATGTGCACACCGAGACGAGGAAGGGCTCTGTAGGAGCCACTGACAAGTGGTTCGTGCGCGTCCACTGCCCCTCTTTCTCTTTCCATACCAAACTGCAAATTCACAGACTTGGTTGGAAATTCGGAGATGTCGCAATCAGTTCTTGGGAGGTCGTTCATTAGAAAAGTGCCCATCTCTCGGCGCTCCAAAGGAGCGGTGCGGAGCAAATTGTCTCCTGGGGACTGGAGGGGGCTTGCCCAGACAGCTCCCGGCAGGGGCTGTGGTGGGATATGCTAATAAAGACTGGCCTCTGCGGACCAGCCTCCCTTTCCATGTATATATAAGGGCCCCCCGCATCAGCCGAAGGACACTTGGTCTCGGGTCCCTAATTACGGAGGAAATTGCCCCAGCGCGCTGCGGAGCGCCTGGCCGAGAGCCGGTTCCCTACTGACGCCTCCGCAGCAGGGATGGAGGTGATGGACAGCTGCAAGTTCTCCCCGTCCGAGCTCTTCTATGACAGCTCCTGCCTCTCCTCCCCGGAGGGCGAGTTCCCCGAGGATTTTGAGCCCAGGGATCTGCCTCCTTTCAGCGCCCACGAGCCCCCCGAGCCTGCCTGCTCCGAGGAAGAGGAGCATGTGCGAGCTCCCACTGGCCACCACCAAGCTGGTCACTGCCTCATGTGGGCTTGCAAAGCCTGCAAAAGAAAATCCACCACAATGGACCGAAGGAAGGCAGCCACCATGAGGGAGAGAAGGAGGCTGAAGAAAGTGAACCAGGCTTTTGAGACCCTGAAGAGATGCACCACTGCCAACCCCAACCAAAGACTCCCCAAAGTAGAGATCCTGCGAAACGCCATCAGATACATCGAGAGCCTCCAGGAGCTCTTGCGGGAACAGGTAGAAAACTACTATCACCTGCCGGGACAGAGTTGCTCCGAACCGACCAGCCCCACTTCCAGCTGCTCCGACGGGATGGTAAGACAGAGGCAGGAGCCACGGGGCTGTGGGGACCCCAGGATGGCCCGCGGGCAGGTCACCCTCGGCCCAACGCCGTGGGACCAGTCCCATGGGTGTGGGACGGGCCGAACGCACCCGGACATCAGGAAAAGGCGGGCGGTTTGCCCTGGAACAGGCCCCTTCCCAGGTTTTCCGCTGGGCACGCAGCTGGGCTCTCCGGGGAAGTATGGGGGGAGGTAGCGCTGCCCGAGGGCACTCTGCAGGGCCCCGGCCCCCCTCTGCTGTCCCTTAGCGCGGCCCTAGAGGGGTAAGGCTGGGGGAGATGGGGAAGGCGCTGCCCAGGGCCAGCAGCCTGGCTGGGAGCGGCTGCCTCGCTCCCTCCCCGCTGGCCTTTATGGCCCTTTCCCGTCTCGGGGAGCGTCCCGCTGGCCCCTGGGCGGGGGCGGCACGGCCGGCACTCGCCCCTCGCTGTCTTGCAGGCCGACTGTGGCAGCCCCGTTTGGTCGGCGAGAGGCAGCGGCTTCGACGCCGTCTACTGCGCCGAGATGGCTCACGGTAAGCGCGACCCGAGCGGCGCGGCCTGCGGGTAGAGGCGGGGCCCGGGCCCCCCGCGCTGCCCGAGGCGCTGGGGCAGGCAGTGCGGCGGCCCGCGGTAACACGGTGCTCTGCCCCGGCCCTCCCCTCGGCCCAGGGTACGCCGCCGATCAGAGCAGCGCCCTGTCCAGCCTGGACTGCCTCTCCAGCATCGTGGACCGTCTCTCCCCGGCGGAGGAGCCAGGGCTGTCTCTCCGCGACGCCGACTCCCTCTCGCCCAGCGCCAGCATCGACTCGGGGCCGGAGACGCCCGGGACGCCGCTGCCCCGACGGACCTACCAGGCGCTATGAGGGGCCCGGGGGCCGGCACACCGCGCCTGCCGCCGGGGCCGCCTCCTGCTAGCGCTTCTCGGGCGAGAGGGGCGGCCCCGCAGCCCCTTGGGCCGCCGCTTCCCTCTGGGGCTGCAGGCAAAGCGCCGCGCCCGCCCCCGGCCAGGGATTGCCCGCACCCCGGCAGGGCGGGCAGGCCCCGGGGCTCGGGACACACGCGCTGCCCTGGAATCCCCGGTGCAAATAAAACGTGCTGTGAGAGAGCTGTCTGGCCGGCTGGTTCTTTAAGTGCATTCCCTGGCATGGGGGAGGGCAGCGAGGCTCGGCTGCGGGGCGCCCGCCAGCATCCATGCTGAGCCCCCAGCCAAGCTCGGGCTCCTGCCCGCGGGACGCCCCTCTTACCGCCCCACCACGGCGGTCCCCAGCCGGGACGTGGGGTGTCCTGCCGGGCTGGGCCCTGGGACTTCGTCTCTCCTTCCACCAGTGCGTACTATTCTGAGATCACTCATGGAGCAACAAAAACGTGGACGTTTAAATTCTCACACTATATCCTGTTATGGGCAGATTTTCCTTTTATTTTCTGCAAAGTAAAATTACTATTTCACAGTCATATTTTTCTATCCTCTCCTTCCGGCCTTCCCTTCCCATCCACCTCTGCAAAGCTCAAGTTTCGTTCACTGGGTATGAAGATGGACTGTGTATTACAGAATTTGACCTTAAAATTGTGTGGTGACTCTGCTCCTAAAACCACTGTATGATCTAGCTCTAATGCTGTGCTGGGGAATTTTACTTGTTGCTCTGGCAGAGACAAATTTAGTAAAGTTAGTAAGAACAAACCACATGTATCTCTTTCATAAGACACAAGGTATATTTCACAATATTCAGAAAGCAATATGGATTTATTTGCTTCTAATTACTTTGGTCTTTTGGTCCAGGATGCAAATTCATTACTCTCCATTTCTCTAGAAATAACCAGGTCAAATCTTCATGTGTTTTCAGATTTAACAAGTATTTCCTTCCAGGCACTAAATTAGGTCTACCTACCATGAAAAATTTCCCTAGTTTTGCACTCTTCTAGATATAATTAAAAACTTTCTTAGCCAACCCTCCCCATCCCCCCCAAAAAAAAGAAAAAAAAAGATGAGATGGAGAGATGGGCTCTGTCAGTTCATCCAGAAATGTTTCATATGATAAATACTCTGAGTGGGAAGGGATATATCCACCTCACTATTGTGGGATAAGGATGTATTTGCCGTTTGTGTTTGTGTTGCTAGCACTCGGTGGCCAAGGGGCCTGGCAGTGGTATTTCACCTCTGATAAATCTTTCACTTGAACCCAGCCCAGCTGAGTCATGTCACCAAAAGTTATCATCTGACTGGCCTTTGGCAGCATCTCTGAACCAAAGATAAAAGAAGCCTTTGCTTAGGGATGGCTATGTCCCTGTAGCACACTGAGGGTCTCTGTCAGAGAAAGTGAGGTGGCACCTGCCTTCCTGAGCCTGCAGCAGGGCAGCAGCAGGTGTGTGTCTGACACAGGGCAAGGCCAGCCCACCCTTTGTGTAACGCCTCCCTCAAAATTACTTTCAATCCTTGCCCATAGCCTTGAGGTAAGTGTTCTTTTCTTGCAGAATATTTCAGGAGAAGCCTTGACCAGAACGGGCTTTCTGTGTATACAGCATATGTCTGAACTCATCGGGGACTAGAAGTGGTTTTAAACCCCTGAGTTGCAGTCATGCAGAGGTACAAACAAGGCATTCTCACACCCCTGTCACTGCAGATGCTTCAGCAGTATGCAAGTGCCTTAACACAGACATAGTCTTGGTTCTGGGGGGATCACTTCCCAAGCCTTCTGTTCACAGGAATTCTTATGCAAGACTGTGAACATCACTGGTTTTATTTCCTGGCTTCTCACACTCTGATGCAGTGTTGCAGTGTTCACTCCTCTCAATCAAAATACTGTCCCAAGGATACTTCTTATGCCCAGGATTTAATAGAGTGCAGATGATTTGAAATGGTATTTTAATGTGAGCTAAGCTAGAGAACTTTCAGCGTTTCATTCTGCGCAGTGCTGACCTTGGCAAGTGATCTCGGATGAAGTATGCAGAGTAACACTAGCAAATCACATGCTGGTAATGTACACCTCTCTTTGGCCGGCAGACATTTTAGGAGTCGCAAAAAGGTCAATACTTCTGAGAAGTAGATTTTCAGAGTGTGAGGAAAAGCATTCCGTCTGGGGGATGTTTGTCCATAGGCTCCTAAGTCCTACAACAGGAGTTTACAACCTCTAGGTTTTGCTATACACATCTGGGAAACAAAAAATTCCAGGACACCTATGAAAAAACTCCCACGAGGCGAAAAGTGCAATAATCCTTGTAAGGAATGGAAGTGAACTCCATGAAACTGCCTTTAGTCTGTGGATTGGGAAGAACAAAAGGCTGTTGGGAGATACACTGTTCTGGTCAGATTTTACACATTTCATATTAATATTAATAAGTGGAACTGAAAAGAAAGATTTGTATTCTATATTAAACGTGTTCATTTAAGGAAGGCTGTGCCCAGAAATAAAGAAGATGATGTTCTAGAAAATCTGAGCTCCACCTATCCCAACTCCTACTACTGATTGCTTAAGGCTCTGGGGCAGCATGTAGTGACCTCACAGGCAGGTGGCAGGTGCAGGGATGCTTCATGGTGTCAGAATAATGAATATAGCACAGAAAGTGTGTTACAGCAAGTTTTCTGACTGCCACTCACTGCAAGGAAGGGCATAATTCTGTACACTTTTTAGAATACAATAATGTTGTATTTTACCTCTGAAAACCATGCATATTTGGCTTAAATTATGACTGAGGGAGGCAGCTGAGCTTTGGTTTTTTTTTTTTGTGTGTGTGAAGTCTTGTGTATCTTTTGTTAACAAGCCAAACAGAGATCTTTAGTGAACTAAATATTTTAAATTCAGATCAGAAAGGACATTTGTACATTGCAAAACTAACATAGAAACCTGGAAAAGATCTCTTAAATATAACATCAAGACAAAAACCCTGCTTTCCTAATGTTCAAATTTCTTGAGTTGCTTGTGTGGAAAACCACTCCCTTTGCCTCTAGGAAAAGATCAAACTTTTTCTTTTCCTGTGGTAAGGCTTAAAAGTGATACATTTTTAGTAATTAGTTCTTGGAGGATGAAGGGGTCTTTATTTGTAGTGCTTGTCTAAATATGCCTAGGAATGCCTCAATTTCAGTGGAAATTCATCGTCTCCTCTTCCCAGTTCACCCTGCTTATCAGGAGCAGTCAGACTTTACCACAGCAGGCAGCTCACCTCTCCCCACCCTGAACCTCTTCCCTCACTCCCTTCTTCCCTCCTTCTTCTCCAGCTTCTCCTCTGCAGAACCCTTGGCTCGCTCATCACTTCTCCCTGCTCCTCTCAGCTGGACCTTGGCGTGCTGGAGGACTCACAGCTGGCCAGCTGACTTCTGACCTTTGGCAGGTTCTGCATGGGGTATCAGCCTTACAGCTGGCCACAACTGCCCTCCTGGCAACTGAAGGCCTAATGAGCTTGGCCAGCTGGAGACTGGGCTGGAATCCTGCTGGCTGATTTGACCCTGTGTGAGGGATGGAGGGGTTCACCCCCAAATGTGGAGGGAGTGAGCAGTGCATCTGTCTATGTGCTGTCCCACAGCATTAGAGCCAGGCTTCTCCTACAGCCAATTGGATTACTGGGATGACTAAAAAAAAAACAGATAGCAGAGCTGTTTTTTCTCTTTCTTTTTTCTTTTCTTTTTTTTTTTTTTAATGGAGTTTGCTGTTGAGTATTAGGCTTCATTAGTGACTATTACCCTCACTGCATCTCATGGTGTTCACTCCACAGAATACACCCATCCACCCAGCCCAGGACTGGGCTGAGGGAGTTATTCCCCTTCCCAAACACAGTGGAATATATTGTCCCTTTATCTAGCACCACTTTCCTATCTCCAGGAGGTTATGCATCTTGGACACATCATGAAAAACATTGTACTGCTACTTTCTCAAAAGTCTCCTGCTTTCCACTCCCCTGACCAGCTGAAAGGCATCATTGATCCATGGAGTTAGTTTACTTCTTGAGCATTAGTAACCTTTATGAGCTGCCTGGCAATCTGCTGAAAAATGTTGCTGGCTATGATGCCAAAGGCATTGCTCATCTGTGCTTGAAAAAAAGTGATACCATGATATATGAGGGTCAGCAGGCCCAGAGAGAGATCAGAAAGGTGCTTCAGTATCTGCATTAAATCAGGTGAATTTGGGTCTGACACTCTCTGAGAGGCCGTCAGACCCGGAATAGCAGCAGAGGGAAAAATGTGCATTTTTTCTCTATTTCTCTGATCTTCTGCAAATAAATGCTTTTGAACTGATACTATTTTCTGTTTTAAAAATCCATATAACATGACTTGAAAAAGTAACTTTAAAAGCATTGAAACCCCTTCTAGTTGGCTGGAGTAGAGTCAGTCAGTCATCTGGAGGTGACTGCCTCTGCTCTGTCCTCACTGCCATGGTTCTGTCTCCTTTGGATAGCATCAAACTGATATTGGGAGCTGACACAACACTCACTTCTCCTCTGGGTCTATGCCTACCAATAGCTGTCATTCTGAGCCTAGGATTCCTGCATTTCACTAATATTGTGTCTTGAGCAGCTGGGAGTCTTTCTGGCCTTTTTTTCTCAGGTGAATTACCAAATGGGAATAGTTTGACTGTAAAACTTCTTCAAATGGATGAGCACCATCCTCTTGGATGCCTGCAGTGAAGACTTACACAGCACCTAAATAGTAAGATTTGAGCTCCTGCTTAAATGGGGATTTTTCCTGGCCTCATCCTGAGTTTAACATTCACTCTCCTCCTTCTTGCAAACTTTGTGCAACTGTTTACCTGGTCACAGGTAGTGTGTGACCTCCAGTGAGGAGTTTGTTCCTGGGTGCAACTGGCCAAGGAAGACACATCCCATGAAGGTGCTTCATGTAGTGAGAAAGCAGATATCCCACTAATCTGAAGCTGTTTGATTGCTGGAACTATGGGCGACTTAACACTCAGACTGGGAGAAAGTGCCTATCTCATATTGGGAATTCCCTTTGGAAGACACACGTGGTGACAGAAAAAAGGGGAATCCTGCTGAAGCCAGGAAGGTTAGCCACAG